TTTTTTTTTTCTTTTTGGCGAAATAAATTTTAAACTGAAATAAAATCGAAAGAGCTTTTTATTAAGTTCTTCTTAAGTTGAACATTACAATGCTTGTGAATGGAGCCCTCATAAATTAATACAAGGCCATGTGATGTCTAAAGTTTAATGCAGCAACTGCATGTCACGTTTCGAAAATCACGCAATGTTACGTGACGCTCCGACCGATATTTTTAATTTACAGTATGCTCTGCTGGAGAAATGTGGCTTGGCCGCAATCGAGGGAGTTTTCTTCGTGGAACATTGACTGGCAAGAGTACCATATCACCCCATACATTAATTATGCATTCAGACTAGTAGACTTTGTTTTTAAAGTTTTGTCGTGAAAGACAAAGAAGTGGAATGCATAATTAATGTATGGGGTTATATGGTACTCTTTCCACATTGACTTTCTGGGAAAATTGTTCACATGAAAGACAAATCCATTCATCGGGCTCCTCGTCTATTTTTGCACAACACCGAAAGGAAGAAAGTCGCGGATTACTTTAATTTCGCTTGGCAATTTTTAACAACTCTACTATACCTGAAAAAAGGAAATACTCACGTGCAAGGAGTTAAGATATAACTTATTAACTTTTACTATTTTTATCATCCAATTACAGGTTGGAGCCTTTCCTGTATTTAGTCGCTCCAATTGGAGCGACTAAATACATGAATGGCTCCAGTCTCTGATCGTTCGCCTGAACTGAGCCCAGACTGACCAATGGAGTTTAGTCAGAGGAATTTGTCAGCGGATAACTTATTCATCGCCGGATCAACGCTGAACGACCGCGCAGAACAAGAAAGGCCCTCCCTCGTTATGTAAGTAACCATTTCTTGTTTGACACATCGATGTTTTCGCTCGCATTGCTATTTCACTGTTCCGCTTGGAGACACACGGTTAAACAATACTCACGACTGCAAGGAGTTAAGATGTAACTTATTAACTTTTACTATTTTTATCATCCAATTACAGGTCGGAGCCATTCCTGTATTTAGTCGCTAGTAGAGCTACACCGCCATTTTGTATCTCGCGTGAAGATTGTATGCGCGGCAGGAGACTAAACCCGAAAGAAGGCGAAACTTGGGTATAGGCTAAATTTGGAAAACTTTCTAACAAAAATAGTCACTTTATTCTTTTTCATTTCATAGCATTATTGCCTCTAGAAATCTATTGACTTACTTTTACACACAATTGGAAACTTGAAATTGAATAACTCAACAAAACTGGAACTGAAATGTCGATGATTTGTTGTATTTTGCTTTTCTTCAAGGGCGTATGTCCGGGGTCGTAGGTGCCCGTGATTCCCCTTTGTGAAATTAGGGACTAGTCTTTACTTCTCGCCTCGGGGGAATCGCAGGATTTCTGGGGGGGATCACATAGTTTTTTTAGAGGGAACGGAGGGGAGTATCAGTCATCGTCGCTATGCCAATTAACTGCCAATGAGCCGCGGAGCCGAAAAATCTCCAGGGCATAAATCTTTTCCAGAGTTAGATGTACCATTTGCCGTTCCTTGTCTTTTCTTGAACACGAGCACCCTGAAGGACGGTAGAGTAGCGGTAAAGGCCAGTTCACGTAAGGCCGTGGACATTACA